TCAGAAAAGTGAAGTGACTTGCCTAAGCTCACCTGGCTTAGCAGCAGCTCAGCCAAGATTCAAACCCAGTTCCATCTGCCATCTAGCTCAGGCCCTTTTGCTCCCAGGATGATTCGAGAAGCCCATTTCCAAAACCCCAAAACCTCAGGGAGCACTCGGGGAGAGGGTGCCCATCATCCACTCATACACACCTTACTGAGGCCCGAGAGCCTGGTATCAGAGCGTCCTTCCACCCCATGACTCGTGGACCAGCAGAGCTATCAGAGCTGGGTGGGGCATGTGAGGAGGAAGGTGGCTGGCACAGCTGGCCTTAAGCTAATTGGATCAGTCCTGGGCATGGAGATGCCTGTCCAGCTGCCCTAGCAGATGGGTGCTGGAACTGGGCCACCTGCCAACACCCAACCTCCATGTCCAAACCAACCTGGACACCAAGGTTCCATTTTGGCCTTCTCCCACCCTGACCCTGGTGGCTGGCATACCCATATAGATCCAGAAGGCCACCGTGGCAGCCACTATCCCTCCTCCAGAGGCCGGTGCCTCCCCTTATGTGGCCATATGGCCCCATATGCTCCCTGACAGCTGGACTGCAGAAGCAACTGCCTGAGGACGTCCTCTGCAGAGGCTCGAGGCCTGGTCACCCCATATACCCCTGCTCAGGAGGCCACCAGGACCACCAGGAAAGCCCTGACCCCAGCTTGTTATAAAACAAGTCATCAGCCCTTGTACACATCAGGGCCCCTCTCTGGACCTCCAGTTCTTCCTCAAACAGCAGTGCCATTGTGCCCCCCAACCTCAACCCCTTCCCTTTGTATCCCACTTACAAGGTTACAAACTTCCACCCAATTTCACTCCAGTTATCCAGGGAGACTAACAAACAAACTTGTCCATTTTACAGACAAAGACTAAGGCCTCACCAGGTGTGGTGGCACACATCTGTAATCCCAGTGATTCAGGAGACGGAGGTGGAAGGATCACAAGTTTCAGGCCAGCCTGGGCAACGTAGTGAGATCATGTCTAAAAATTTAAAAGGAGTGGGGAGCTGGGGATGTAGCTCAGTGGTAAAGCATCCCTGGGTACAGTCCCCAGTAGCGAAAAATAGGAAGGAAGGAAGGAAGGAAGGAAGGAAGGAAGGAAGGAAGGAAGGAAGGAAGGAAGGAAGGAAGGAAGGAAGGAAGGAAGGAAGGAAGGAAGGAAGGAAGGAAGGAAGGAAGGAAGGAAGGAAGGAAGGAAACTGAGGGGCTTGGTCAAGTGCATAAGTGCAAACAGGACTGAAACTTGCATCTATGACTCCAACACACTTGCCATCTCTGTGTGCCTAGGTGGTGAGACTGATGGTACCTGTGCTGCCACCCAACTCTGATGACCTAGATCAGCACCCCTAGATAGAACCTCTCCATCCTCCACTGGCTGGAAAACCCTGCATGGCAGGCAGGCCGGGTGCCTATCCCTGCTGCAGTTGTCCTCAACATCAGCCTGGATTCCCACAGCAGCCTCAGGACACCTCTGGGTCTCTGGCCAACCCCTCCCACCACCACCAGAGGGAGCGGCTTAAATCACAAATCTGATTATGTCCCTCTGGAATTTCAACCTCCCAAGCCCTGAACAGGGAATCAGCCCACACTCAGATGGGCACTCAGGCCCTCCTCCATGTTGTGCCAACCTGCTTAGTGCCTCCTGTGCCCCTGCATGAGCTGCTCCATGGCAAACACGTTTCCCCTGTGCCCTGTGCTTCCCACCTCCCTGCCTTCACTGACGCTGGCCTTATCTGCCCACAAAGGCCTCACATTCACATTCTCCATCAGTCATTGATTCAACGAAGATTTATTGAGCATCCATCCACCAAATACCAGAAACATCTCAGCAGATCAAAATCTCACCAACCCTTCCAGCCCATCTGAACCCACCCGCCCTGTGTTCCCCACTGTGACTCTGCAGTGGCCCAGCCCACTCTGTAGGCTCAAGCCTGACTCTTTCAGAGCCCATCCAGAGAAGGGTCCAGCACTGTCATGCAGCTCAGCCTTCAAACCAGGAGATGCCCCCAAGTGTGGTGTGAGGCCCAAGTGTAGGAGTCCTGGAAGTGGGGAGCAAGGAAAGATCAAGGTGTAATTCCTGGGAGCAGATGTCTGAGCCCCAGAAGCCATGAAGGAGACTCAGATTGACCAGAGAGGCCTCAAGTTCCTCCAAAGGAGACCTGAGTGGCCAGGGGCACCTTGCTATCACTGAATTTGTTAGAATGCAATAATTTTAAAAGTTAAAACATAAAATGGCAGGGTCAGGCCCCAGTTGCGGAGGGAAACTAAGGGATCACCCTGGGTTCTACCCCTTGCCAGTCAGTGGGGGGCAGCCAGTGGGAACTGGAAGCACCTGGCTGGGCCACCTGCAGCACAGATCAAGGGCCAAAGAGGTACCGCACCTGCATTCCCTCTTCCCCTGGCTTAAGGCCCCAGATAGACTGCATGTCCTACTACACTAAGGTAGCAGGGGAACAGGGCACAACCCCGGCTGGCAGAACCAGGACAGGGATGCAAGCAGGCCTGGATGGTGGACTTGGGCCAAGAAAAGGGTTTAGTCATGCTCCAGCCACCAGCATGTCAACCACAGCATTGGTTAACACCTAGGAGACAAAGTCCAAGCTTAGGGAGCCACAGGAGAAGAGGGGGCAGAGTGAGAGAAGACAAACCCATGGTCAAGAAAGACTGAGTCAGCGAGTCCGAGAGTCAGCCAGAGCAAGGAGAAGCAGAGAGGCAGCTTGAGAGATGAAGCCAGCAAACAGGCCTCAGGAGGCACAGCAGCATCCAGCAGGCCCAGCCCACCCCACACCTGAGGGAGACGGCCACTCTCCCCACAAAGAGCCTCCAAAGGCCTGAGTAACTCTGAGGATGAGTCCAGGCTGCCAGCAGGACTGAGGGGGGTCACAGAGGCCTGCCTGGGGCTGGCAGCTCCAGCCTCCTGTGCCTCAAGTAGATGGGAGAGAAGTAGACTCAGTAACCCCCAGACATCCCCCCTCCTTGCTCCTCTCCCCCTAGTGCACATTTAGATCCCTATGGCCAACCTAAGGGAAAAGCTCTTGCCCCCACAGGGCCCAAACAGAAGGACAACGACAGGATCTAGTCCAGAGTGCCAGGCTGTTAGGAGCAGGGGATGTTTGGAGAACACCCTTCTGATCTGCTGGTTAATACTAACATGCCAGAGCTATGCTGAGGATTACAGGAACCAGGTTTGCAAACCATCAAGCAGAGCACAGACTCTCTTCTCTGGTCCCAAATCTGGGAAGCATAAGTTCAACCAGGCTGGAGTTAAAAAGTCCCATAGATCAGGTCAGGGGAATAAGTTACTTCAGACTAAGTAAGTGGCTGCCCCATCTGAGAAAGATGTCTGTACTAGACAGCCAGAGAGCTGCTCTGGGGTGACTCTAGTAAGACGTTACCAAAGACCTGCTGACAGGTCAATAAAGAAGGTCTCTTCCTGTCCCCTGCCCATCCTCACCAAAGATCAGGATTGGAGATCTTCACAGTGCCCATGGGCTTCTCTGAGACTTAGGAGATGGGTGTTCTAGCTCCATCTTTGCCTCAGCATCCTCTTCTGTGAAATGGACATGAAGCATGCCATGGATCCTGCATTCTCCTAATGTGGCTGAGAGAGTCCAGAGAGAAAATGGATTTGGAAGTAAGGTTTAAAACTAAAAGCTGATCACATAGAGATACCACCAAACCCCAGAGACCCAAGTAGATCCTAGTTGGTCCAGCCACCACACCACTCCAGGCAGCATGCAGGATGAGATCAAGGCTTCCTACCCCGCAGGCTCATATCCTGAATGCCAGGGAAAAGGGCAGGTGGACTCTATGCCCAAGGAAGCCCAATCTGGAAAGGTTGGGGAGCAATCAGCAGTCAGAAGAGGTTTCCTAGGGAAGAAAAATCCTGCACTGGAAGCCAGGAGGATTTGCTAGGGAGGAACACCTGGGGGAGGGTGGTTGCCTCTGGCCCTTTCTTGAGCCTCACATTTCTGGGGACAAAAGGTTTGCTCCCTTCCAGGGCCACCATCCTGGATCACACCTCCCTGCCCTATCTTCTACTGTACTGGCTGAGCTGGCACTTAAGGGATGGGAGCAGGCACTTAAGGGATGGGAGTAGGGGCTTGGAACAGCCAAGGTAGGACCCTAAGGTGAACAGTTGGAGACTCAAAGGGGGAGAGGTACACAGTGTGCCACAATCGCAGCACACAGAGTAAGGCAGCCAAAGACATGCCTACAAACAGGGATAAGGATACCAGGCTGGTGGGCCTGGGGACAACCCCACGGAGCTCCCGGGCACTGAAGTCTGATGGGGCACATCTTGCTGGTAGTTCCCTTTTCCAGCGCCCATCCCGCAGCACAGAAGGTGCGGGGACACAGGCACATACACACAACCGCACGTTTACCCTCTCCTCCACCTCTTGAGCCCTCAGAACTGGGGGCTGTTGGCGTCCGGAGAGGCTCCAGCGCAGAGCCTCGGGACTGGGGTTGGGGTAGGGGTGTCCAGGACAGCCGACGGCTGCTCTGACAAGGCAGCAAAGGCGCATCCCTCGGTCCACCAGGCGGCCCAGCCTGCGCCTTCACCCCACTTCCCTCTCGCATTCTCCCCTTTGAAAAGAAAGGCCATAATTCCACCATTAATGCGCCTCCATCTCCACCCTCTCCCGTCCCGCCGTGCCCGGGGGCCTCCACAAAGTTGCTTCAAGTCTCGGGGATTCTGGCGGCAGGTGAGGGTTAGGCGGGGCCGAGCTGCTAACAGGAGAGCTGTCACCGCGAGGGGTGCCGAGCGCGCACCTCCCCCCTCCAGCTCCGCGCGTGCACGCCTTCACGGACGCGCACTCCACACCCCACCCCCACCGCTGCCCCCGAGGTTCCCGCCCAATCAGAGGCCGCGCACGCGGCGCTGCCGGCGGGCAGGCACCCCGACTACCCCGCCTGCGCCCCTGCGGCCCCAGCCCCGCCGCAGCGTCCCGACCTGGCCACACTCACCGTCCCGGGCGCGCCGTCCGCGCTCGGCTCCGCTCTGGGCCCGCATCCCCCAGCTCAGTTCTGCTCGGGTCCGTGCTCCGACTCGGATTCCCGCTCCACAGAGCTCGGCTTGGAGATGGTGGTGGCAGCAGCAAGGAGCGAAGCAGGAAGGGCGTGTGTGTGTGCGTGTGTGTGTGAGAGAGAGCGAGCGCGCGGCGTGTGCGCGGGAGGGTCCCGCGCTCCCCTGCGCGCCCGGCTCCTGCCTCCTGCTCTCCACGCTGCGATGCCAGCAGAATCCCTAACGCGCGCTCACACTCGCCGGCCGCTCACACTCGCGCACACACGCGCACACCCGGGCGCGCACACACCCCCGCCGCCGCACTCTCGCCCTCCTGGGGCGCTCACAAAGGCCCCCCACTACCCCGGCCGGTCGGAGCTCCAGGCACGCGGCCCTGCATCCTCTCCTGGACCAGTTCCTCCTCAGGTCCCCCGTGGCTCCCAGAGGGGACCCCACGGGCGTCCCCGCTCCTCGCTCCAAGCCCGAACCCCGGCCACGGAGCCGGACACCGGCTTCCGGCGCTCGCGCCCAGAGGTTCCCGCTCCCTCCTCCTCTACCTCCTCCCAGCGCCGCCGCCCGCAGCCGCGCGCTCTCCTTTCTTTCCCCCTTTTCTGTCACTGCCTCTCCTGTGTCGGCTCTCCTTTCTCCCACCTGACCCCAACCCCTTCCTCGGTCTTTCCCGCTGCTTCTCCGTCTGTCTCGCCACCGCCCTCTCCCGCTCCCCTCCTCCCCAAGCCCTGCGCTGCCTCTCACATTCCCCGCATTAACACCCGGTGCCACCCTCGGCTCGCGGGGCCCGGGGTTCGAGCGCGCAGTGGGCGGCGAGGGGACCCACCGCGCCCCAGCCCCGCCGCCCCCTCCGCTCTCCTCTGGCTCCGCGGCTCCTCGCTCGAGCCTGGCGGGTGGCGATGTCCCGCACTAGCCTCGACTGCTGCTGACAGCTCTCATCTCGCCGGGGCTTAAAGGCATAGCGCACCCGGCTGGACCTGCCCCACCCGGGGGCGCCTGGGAGGACAGCCTCGCCGCGCGGGAACTGGCCGGGGCGGTGGCGCAGCCGGAGCCGTGCGGGCGGCGCCTTGTCCGCCGCGATTGAGCCCGGCCCTCCGGGGCTGGAGGTGAGTCAAGGAGAAGGACAGTCGAGAGCTGCCCAGACCAAGCCATCCAGGGGGCGCTCAGCGCTTGTTGGCAGCCACACCGGGAGGCAGGCTGGAGTGTGGGGCAGTGTATGCTAGGCATCCAGGACTGTGAGGCTAAGAGGGGGAGCGAAGAAATAGCTGTCACCCGGGAATCTGAACCCCAGGTGAAGACACCTGTCTTGCTGGGAGGAGAGGACTTACAGGGTGACCTCTGCCTCCTACTGTGGGACCTTGCGCCAATGCCCACACCTCTCTGCACCTCAGTTTACCCTTCTTTGGAAGAACATTGATTTGCATCATCTCTGGGGCCATGCCCAACTCTGATATAGAATTAGCTGTTCTGGAGATGGAGAGTCTGCCTTGAGGCTCTGGAATCCCAAGGCAGACCCTCAAAGCCCAGAGTTCCAACTCCTCCTTGCCTGTGAAAGCAGGGCAACCGTCCACCCTCCTCAGGCCTGGTCTGCACCCTTCCTTCTTCTATGACCTTTCTTTTCCCATCTCAGCAGGAGAATCAGGGAATGAGGCAAAGTTGAGCAGAATAGGGACCAACTGAGTACAGCGGTCTACTTGCAGAGCTCCTCCAAGTCCCAGATCTCCCTGTACCATCAGGACACTCTGGAGAGGAAAATGCAGCCCTAGGCTCCTGGTCAGCCTGGTCCTGGACAGACCTGGCAAGTGAGCATTTCATGTTCATGGCTGTATTCCCACCCTGGACTTCTTGTACCCCAACACCCACATAGGGATGCATTTTTCCCATTTGTTTTCTAAGCATCTGTTGTGTACCACATCCTCCGTGAGATCGTGGGGACACACAGGTGATTTAGATACATTCCTGCCATCAGAAAATGAGAAAAGCAGGAAGGTATGAGAGCTGTTAGGGGTAATCCAGGAAAGCTTCCTGGAGGAGGTGGCATTAAAGGATAAATAGGAGGAGGTGGCATTGAAGGATAAATAGAAAGGAAGAGAATGGACACCCCATGTGAGTAAAGAGCATATGCAAAGACCTGGAAGAGGGAGATAGGGAATGATGGGTGTGCTTTGGGGACAACTTGAATTGAGTTTCATCGTAGATCCAGGACAGCAGCAGGCTGTCACTTGGCAACTCTCAGGTGATGTCCTCATCCTCATCTTTCAACCAACACAGATGCTCAAGGCTAAAGCCTCCAGACCCAGCAGATTTTGCAGGGTGCCTCCCCCTCTCCTCCTCTCCTCAGCCCAGTCCCGATCTGGATTCCCACATCTGCAACCAGATGCAGCACAGCCTCCCCCTGCTGACCGGAGCTGGAAGTGGGAGAAGTGTGTGTGGCAGTGAAGCAAGTCCAGGAAGGGCCAGGCTCCCACACACCCCCATCACAAAGCTGCCCCGCAAAGACCCCAGACTTTGGTGTCAGGCAGACTCAATGCAGCTCCAGCCTCAGTCTTCTCTGTAGAATGGGAATAAAAATACTTGGCCAGCAAGGTGAGAGGTGAAGAATTCCTGAGAAGAAGGAATTATTCATTCCTGAGCAGAGGAGTGGCTCCAGACACCATAGATATTGGACAAAAGCCCTTTTCCTTCCCTATACCTAAGCATGGCTTTGTGGCCCCCCTCCCCTGAAGTCCCCTACTGTATCCCCTTTCCCTCCTTCCCGGCCATTTTCCTTCGGCTTTCCTCCCAGACTTCCTGGGGCCCTCGGGGGAGATGAGCTCACGGCTGTTGCCTGGTCTGGCTCAACACACCTCCTGAAGAGTCTTCCAGGGCTTCCAGGTGGGCCCCAGGGAGGCCAAACAGAGACAAACAGCCTTCCCCAGAGTCCCAAGCAGAGCAGCAGTTCCCCTCTGCCTCCCAACCACTTCTCCCCGTCACTTCTCTTGTCCTGGGAGCCACACAGCCTGTGTCTAAGCTTGAGAATTACTGCCCTTGCCCCCAGCTTTTTTTTATATATTTATTTTTTAGTTGTAGTTGGATGCAGTACCTTATTTATTTGTTTTTGTGTGGTGCTGAGGATCAAACCCAGGGCCTTGTATGTGCTAGGCGAGCGCTCATTACTGAGCCACAACCCCAGCTCCCCTCCCAGCTCTTTTGTGTGTGTGCAATCTCAAAGAGCTAGTGCACCTTCTCTGAGCCTCAACTTCCTCCCTAAGTATGGGGGCAGCTAGTGTGCCCCCAAGTGGTGATGAACTTAAGTCTAGTTTATTTTTTCTTCCTCAACAAGTCCAAGCCTAGGCCCTTCATCCTGGAGTTCTGCACAAGGAGTAAGTACTGAGGCTCTCTGTGACCCCCTTATGCTAGTGGCCAGGGGCTATTGCCACCTCTACCTCCCAGGACCCACTCTCCATGGTCGGAGCAGCAGCAGCTGAGGGCTAGAGGCCAGGCCAGTGTGGGCAGCCCCCTGGCTCCGCCCCAGAGGCCAAGGCTGGCTGCTCCCCACCATGGGGCTGGTACCCTTAGCAGTGAACCTGCAGATGTCTCCCTGGGGCCCCTCTGCTCTTCCCAGCTGTCTCCATAGATCAGCAGGGAAAAACTTAGCAGCATCCCAAACCCAGTCATCAAGCCAGGGCCAGCCTGGGCTAAGGGAGCAGCCTACATGGAATCCTAGGAGGCATTTCCCATCCGCTTTCTCCATAACCCCTGTTTCTTGAGCCAGACTGAAAAATGCATCAGCAGCATCCAGACAAATGTCCCACTCAACCAGACTGTCTCTCTACTACCTCTAAACACATCTGCTCTCCCCACATCCAGGTCTACCACCTCTTAACTCCTTCCTTCCCCAGCAACCTTCCTCCACCACCCCTTCTCACGCCAGTCTCCCTCTCCTCTCTACTCATGGCATACTATGTACTGGGAGCTGTTTGCTCCCTAATGTATCCACACATTACATCTGCTGTTATTCCCATTTCAGAGAAGAAAAAAGCAAGGCTTACTTTGGGTTTCCAAGATTTGAAGTGAGATCCTGTGTTTTCCATTCTTTCCGAGAACATGTATTAAGGACCAACTCCATGCCAGGCACTGTGCCAGGGGTGGGGTAGGCACAGCAGAGACCTTGAGCTGAGACCTCAGACCAATCATGCAAAGAAATGTAAGATTATGACTGGGACAAGCACTGCAAAGAGATCTGTGGGGCCTGGCCTATGTGGGGAGTCAGGAGAGACCTCCTGCTGCAGGGCATCACATGTGATCTCACTTCAAAAGGTCAATTAGACTAACTCAGAGGAGTGGGGCTACAGAGAGAGGAAATAACACCTGCAAAGGTCCTGTGGTGAGAAGAAGGAAAAAGAGTCCATACAACCAGAGAACAAGGAGAGGGAGATGGAGAGGGGGCTTCAGGGAGCATCGGACCTGGACCACACATCTGTTGGGCCCTCCAGAAAGTTATATTTTAAACCTGGAGGCTCTAGCCAGGCACCATGGCATACTCCTATAATCCCAGCAACTCGGGAGGCTGAGGCAGGAGGATCATGGGTTCAAAGCTAGCCTCAGCAACTTAGCAAAACACTTAGCAACTCAGTGAGATCCTCCTGTCTCTAAATAAAAATATAACAAATGGGCTGGGATGTGGCTCAGTGGTTAAATGCCCCTGGGTTCAATCCCCAGTACCACAAAAAGAGAAGAAAAGAAAGAAAGAAAAAAAAAACTGGAGGCTCTAGGTTGACACTGGAGGTTCAAAGCAGGGGACAGTGCCCCCACTTCTCCTTCAACTACTTCCTAGCCCACCATTCAGATGTGGCACCTAGGGACCCTTGTGATGCCCAGGTCCTGGACAAGGCAGGGCGTACTGGGGACTGAGGCTGTGGCCAAGGTAGCAACAGTATGGGGAGCAGAAGACTTTGGCTCAAATGAATGACTCAAGGCATTCGCCTGGCCCTCCCCATCCTCCATAATTCTAAATTTGGACTAATCATCTGCCATATCTCGTCAATTCTGGGGCATATTCTGGGTCAATTCTGGGGAATGGGGAAGATACAAGGGTCCAAATGACCCCACCAGAGCAGGATTTTAGAGCCAGGCCCTGCAGTGGTGCAGAGGGGCTGCCAGGGGCTTGCCGATGGCTTGTGTCTTCCTGCACCTCCTCCATCCCAAGCTCACCTTCCCAGCCCTCCCAAATGGGGCAATCCACTTCTTCCTTTTGCTTCCTCTCCCCAGTCGGAACCTCCCCTGCACCCTCACCTGCTCCTGCCCCACCAGCTGGGCAACTGCAAGGGAGCCAGGGAGTCCCTGTTGGCCTACAAGAGCTGAGTTGGGTCCTTGGGCCGTTCGTTTTGTCATCTGTGAAGAGATGTCATTCTCTACTCCTGCCATCTCCCTGGACAGGACAGAGGGTGAAGCAGGCTCTGGACTTCCTGTTGTAGCCCCCAGCTGTTGTATGGGGAGGACGGCTCACTATCAAGCATCCTCCCGGGACCCCAAAGTCTGCCCCAGAGAGCAGCAGACGCACTAGCTGACC